CATATCTTGTGGCAGCTGAATTGCTAATTCAAAAATTACACTTTGTAGTAGTCATTTTCATTCAATTTAATCTTGACGTTCTTCACGATTTATTGTTGGGTTGCAAGCATTACCAAGGAAGGCAAAAGCCTGCGGCTACAAAAAGCTGCAAAAATATTTTTACGCTTTGAATTTCTATAGGATTCTTCAGTTTCCTTAAGCGCAAGAAACCAGAGAAATCTGATCAACAGTCGACAACTTCGAATCCTGTTAGTTCACCATCAGATATATATTCCCAAGCCGATGTACCTCAGACTGGTCTTCAACTTCGACAACAAACTCCAGGTAAGTTAATGTGTTTGCGTCCAAGGACTTTCTGAATAGACCTTTTCAGCTTTTGCGTGACGTTACCCCGTAATAGACAGACCCCTTGCAGGGATGCAGCTCAGTCTGGAGGACATAACAATGGCTTCCTCATTCTCATGATTAAAATTCTTTTGTTTTGTCCTCCAAATTGAGCTGCTTTGACGTCACATGCGAGAGGTCTATTTCATTAACGGAAGAAGAGCCACTCTGTGAAATCCACCGGTTAATCCCATTATTTTTGTTAACTTTATTATATGCTCACCTTCTTAGGCAAAGCTATGCAAGACGAGGTGCATCATATTTACGAAGTTGTCCACAAACCGGAGCCATCTGAACTGGTGTATTTGGAGCCAGTGGATCCAGCTGTAGTTCAACCAACTGGTCTTTCCCCACCACCAAAACCTCCACCTCCACCACCGCCATCACAACCAACAGCTCCACCATCTCAACGATCTTCATCGATTTCAATGCAGCCATTTCCGCACTCTGTAGGGTCTTTTTCTAGACCGATACCTGCGAACGCTGCTGCTTCAACGCAAGACACATTTCTTCAATATGAACGAAGCGATGATACAGGGTCAGAGAGTGTTACGGGTTCTAGACCAACTGCAACACTCAAACAAAATTATTCACCAATTGCTGCACCGTCATTACAGGTTCCAGATTCTCCACCAGTTGCAGAACCGCCATCTTCACCATCTCCACCTACGAATGCTGCAAACCCGCCACCGCCACCGCCGCCACCTCCACCACCCCCTCCACCGCCGCCTCCACCTCCAATGTTTCCAGAAGGGTCTCCACAAGCATTCTTGATGGACTTCCCCGAGTCTATGGATGGGTCTATGGGTGCAGGTAATATTGTCCAAATGGTCGGAACTGGCTTAAGTTCAGCGGCTGGTTCACTGATGGACAGCATCTTAGCAGGGACAAAACTGAAAAAGGTGAGGTAGTAATTTATTCGTTCACAGTAATTTTTGATATATATTCTGTGAACTAAATATGTTGGTTTTTGAAGTGACGCCAGTCAAAAATATAACCTTGTTGACTGTTTTATTAAATCGAAGACAGAAACGGATAGATAAACTGAGCAGTCAAATGGATTCTACTCTACCAAACTGTAAACATCTATCCAAATTTATCCAAACTACAGCTCATTTAAACTTGCCCATTTCTAGATTGACAGATCAGCTCTGCCTAAGCAAAGTCCTGCCCTTAGCCAAGGTGGGATGGGAGGAGCATTGGCCAGAGCAATGGATCAACGATCAAGGGCCATGCATTCGTCTGGTAAGTGTACAAAAAAATCACTAACACGTATTTGTTCCATGTTTTTTAGTGATCAAAACAACCAACGAAAAGAGCGCGCGCTCGTTGACGTCAGCTTATTTGCCTGTTCTCTTATTGATCATAAAAAATAGCYAATCAGCGCGCTAGAAATTAACGATTTGTGGTGAAAATGATCTTGGAGTTAAGTGTGAAGAAGCATATCTTCGATTTTAAGGAAGTAAAATGACATTTTTTAAAACTTGACAAGCGAGAGGGCGGTTGATTATGTGTAGATGGATCTTATCATTATAATCAACCGCACTCTCTCTTGTACACGTCTACTGTACAGTATAATCAACCGCACTCTCTCTTGTACATTTCTACTGTACAGTCTAATCAACCGTAATTTTAAGAGCGAGAGTGCAGTTGATTATATATAGACGGACCTTATCATTATGATAAACCGCACTTTCCCTTGTACATGTCTACTGAAGATGACGTAGGAAACATCAAAACTTGGCTATAAAGTGTAATCTTATTCCTTAAAATACTGTTGCATTTGCTGCWTCTTATACCATATTTTCAATTCAAAATRTGTGTGCTACTGCTCGGCAYACCTCAGGGACTTTTGTTTGTTTGRACTCCAYTGATTATTTTTTGGCCGTTCTCSGTTCACTAGYTATCAATTTTTTCTRCTATAACTGTATTAATTTTCCAAGACAATTCGTTAGTCAAAAGGGAAATGCCCAGCATGGGAYCTAGAGTCCCGTAACACAGGGRRAAAAAAWGGATTCCCAAATTGGGAATTGTYGGGAATTTCCTTGAATTCCCAATTCGAACAACAAAGTTGGGATTTATTGYTGGGAATTTCCTTCTAATACCCAATAGAAAAACAAWATTCCCAACAAACTAACATTGGGAATCAGTGCCACRTTCYCAATTTCGTTCTCTCTGGGAATTGGATGGGAATTCGTTGGAAATTCAKGGAAATTCCCAACAAATTCCCAATTTGGGAATCCGGTTTTTTTCCCTGTGTAATCTTCCTTCCTGATTGATACCCAATAAAMGTYGTTAACCAAATGAAAGAAAATAACTTAGAATCTTTTCCCTAGATGAAGATGATGATGAMGACGACGAYGATGATGACTGGGATGACGATGATGATGAAGAATGGTCAGATTGAAGGACGATAGCTGAATATCATAATATAAACAGAACGAAATTAATAGTCTTTCAGATGAARATAATTCAATTAAAATAAACATCAAGATACATGTCAAAATTAACTCAAAAATAAACTCTTTTTTTTAAATAAAATGTCGTAAAGCTGTGAAATTACACTTGCACATGCTCACATGCACGCAAAGTCAGGTCACAGCTAACTGTCCTCCCGAAAGTTATTAGAAAGTTATCATTTGATTAGCAAAGAAACTGGAGACGTTCTTAAAACATTGAGGACTTTTTTTCAATAATGAGCAATAATGACAAAAAGCGCCAAAACCTAGACCTTCGTATGAGTTTTGATCCCAATTTTCGTTTGGTTTAATACTCAAAACCTTTTTTAAACAGTTAGGAACTGATGTCAGTACTATGAAAATGCCTGTTTGACGAAGCGGTATTTTCAATTGTACAAAGATGTTTTGTTGCATTTGTGTTAGAATGTTGCTTTGTCAAGCTAGAAAATATATGGGAAATAAGCAAATGAAGACCTAAACCTCATTTTCGAATAAACTTTTGGCTTTGGGTTAACACTTTGATTCCACTTTCATCGGTCATCTCCACTTCCAACTGCAAACAAGTTAAACTTTCTGAATAACAAGATTTAAGTCTTGGACAACAGCCTTTCCTCACTGGTTGAATACGAAAAGAATTGTCTCTTAATGTATTATTCTTTATGAGCAGGCAAGCAGGCAAGCAGGCAAGCAGGCAAGCAGGCAAGCAGGCAAGCAGGCTATCAGATATAAAGAAAAAAAAATAATAATGAAAACACTATTCCACAAAAGTACTACTTTTTGCACCAAACTTTATCTAATTCTCTTATTTCACGCTAAAAGCCTGGTTGGATGCAAAATTCGTAGCAGGTTATGAAAAGTGCAGTGATAATGATTTCACAGCTCATTTGCTGTCATTGGAATTACGCCGAAGAAGGTAAGACGTGATAAAGTGTATTTTTACGCATTAGTGATGGATTATAATATACTTTTGTATTTGTCCTTTCCTYTTGTCAAGTGACGAAGACGTGTGTGAACGAAGAGTTGTTGAAATTCCAATGGAAGGGGAAGCTTATTATCGCTTGGATCACCTTCCTTTGAAAATATATTAGCTTTGTAAACAGCTCTGTTTATTTGAACAAATAATAATAATAATGGAAACTT